AAAAAAAAAAGACGAAATGATCACCGTTACGAGTAACACGGCTGCATTTATCATCAGTATCGACGTGACTAAAAGCGAAGCACCAACTGTTGATTCCGCCCTCGCATACAGTTTTTCACCTTCATCATAAAGATAAGTACAAATGGGCGGATGGTTGTGCGGGCCAAGAGAGGCATTTTACACTAAAAAAAAAAAAAAAATACCGACCTGCAGCACTAAACACCCACACTATGGAAATAAACAGACTTCATACATAATTCCGGAAAAATAAATAATCTACGATAGCTGCACACACACACACACGAACGCAGTCAGTCCACACACACACACACACGAACGCAGTCAGTCCACACACATACGCACGAACGCAGTCAGTCCACACACACACACACACACACGAACGCAGTCAGTCAAGTCACACACACACACAAGTAGAGAACGTAACAGCTGATTCATGACACTCCACTCATTTTAGGTAGGTCAAAAAACAAAACTAATTCATGTAATTGTAATACAAAGTTACAAATATGTGTGTGTGTGTTGTTAAATTCAAAACTAGTGTTTTAACCCAATCAGACGTACTAAGCTAACACATGTAAGGTGGGCAAAACCAAAAAGTATCGTCCAGTTAAAATATGGGATACTAAAAGACAAAGAAAAGCTTAAAGCCGTCGTTAAGACAATCACTGCATGTTAGACTAGAGAGAGAGTATTCTTAAATTTCAACCGGTCCAATTAATAATCGCTTGTTTTTACTAGTCCTATGTTGCAAACAATGTCCAGATTAAACGACTCCCTTCTTTTTGCATTAGGAATATAAAATAGGTATCATGGCGTGAATTTTACGCCATGATGATGGCATTATTCAATAAAAAATAAAACAGTTTTTAGTTCCATACGCTACCGAATTCTACTGGCATATTCTTCTTGTATATTTTTTCAGCTCCATATTTGACTGTTTAATAAAGCTATAAAGTATCATTGTTTTTTTCTTACTTTTTCTGCGAAGAAATTTTACGAAAATAAAGAATAAATGAAATATCCTGTGTCGAAAAAGAAAACCAATTAAGAGCAGAAAATATTCAGGTACATCACTTCATCATACAGAATGAATGGTTGTTGCACAATGGACAACAACCATCAGTGGACATAGACGGGTGAATGGTTGTCTTACGAGAGATGCATGAACATAGAACGTCATCGTTGTGTATCAAAACAAAACTGACCTAATAGTTGTTAAGTAGTAGAAGAAGGATTAAATCAGCCTTGTCATCATTATCATCAACTATTTTTATTTCATTTCTTCTCTGGCAATTTGGCTAAGGAGATTTGTCAAGGCAAATTGCCAACAAGTTTATCAAGAAAAACGAATACCAGCGTAGTAATAAAAGAAACAAGTTTTGCACAAATGTGAAACTGACAAACAGAGTTTCAGTTTTGTTTTTTGGGTTTGTTTGTTTTTTTGTTTTTTTACGTATCCAAGAAAGAAAATGATTCTGTGTCGGATATACAAAAAAAAAATCATTATTTCTTGGGAAAAAAAAAAGGAAACTTTGATAAAGACGAGGCGAAAGTTCCCCGTCTTCTTTAAGAACGGTGTATTTTCTGAGCTCTCTCCAGATTTCGGGCACAGACTCTTCTTCATCAATGTCACGTTCAAATATTTCCAATACATTTGTCATTTTTGTGACATATTTTTTTATTTTAAAACAAAGAGAAAACATTTTTTTTACTACAAATATTCCGTTTATTAATTGGGTCTTTATTTTATCATTGATTATTTCATCTTTATCACCTTCTTATTGGGAACGACAGCCATCAGGTATATTGTTAGGGACATGTCTACCAGATGGTCACTAAAGTCACGAAGTGGATGATGACCGGTTTACAAAATGCTCAACATTTACAAATAATACAGAAATCTTAAACAAATTCACACTTGACATGGTTATCCCCCCCCCTAACGTGTTTGCATTACACACACAAAAAAAATCAAAAGCTGTGAATAAATTGTTAACAAGATCATTTTTTGCTTGAATATAAAAAGCCTACTGACAACTATAAAATAAAAATAAAATGAATAATACCCTAAAATGGTAAAAACTAAGGATATAAAATAAAAATCAACCTAGTGACAAGAAAATCTACTAGTACCATACGTTTCCTCTTTCATTCAAGTATTTTTCTTTCGTTCGAAAGTACTAACCAGAACCTGTTCTACCCTACCTTTCTTATGAATGAAATATTTCAAAATTTGCGATTGATTAGGTGGATATTTCTTGACATTATAAAAGGGAATTTAATTAACAAATGGTTGTTGTCTTCAAGAAGCCCGTCGTATGTATCATCACCCTACGTAATAGTACATAATAAAAAAATGCCGTAATGATCGTTGTGAAAAAGAAACAGCCCTGATGTTCACCTCCTGTCGTGACTGACCTGTGCAGCCTTTGTTTTCTTCTTTTACTGGCCAATTCTTGCTACACCTCCAACGATGAAGAATCTTTCCCAGAAATAAATAACCATGCATAAATCAACAAATATCTACCGAAAATAAATTAATTCTCGACATGGAAAAGGTTATAAAAACCAGAGACAATATGCGAAAAAAAAAATACAGCGAAACGTACAAACAAACTTAAATTAATTAATAAAAGGTTGAATTTGATAGCATCCAATAATTGGACGAGTTGAAAATATTGCTTCAAGGTTAAAACAGGTAATACCGTGATAAGTAGAAAATGAAGTCAGCAAGGTAAAAAAAAATGCGACATTTAAATCCATTGCAACTTTGTTGTTCTTTTCTTCTTCATCATGCCAATAAATGTCAATTCTGACATGTCAACGAAATGCAGTGCATGTTTTAACATGAAGCTGCTACCGTCATTTATTTACAAGATGGAATTAAAAAATACTGTTCTTCATTTATTTGTTGATTAAATAAAAACTTAATTTCTTTCTGTAAAAGAAAATAAAGAAAAGGAAATCATGTCGCAGATCAATTTACCTAACCTTTAAAATTCTAAATGTTTTGTTTTTTCTTCGAAATAAAAACCATTATGAGAACGATTTCTTTTTCTTTTAAACTTGAACTCAAAAAAGCATTTTACGGGGATTGCAACCTTTTAAGACCCTATTCTAAGATTCTTCAATCATTCAACCTAGCGATAAAGTCAAAAATGTTAATTGGAAATCCGTTAAAGTAAATAACTGATTGAAATAAATAGTTATTAAAATCCACTAATACATTTTTAGTTGTGTAGGTAAGCAAAAAAAGGAAATGATAGAAGAGGGGGCGGACAAATGGATGGAAAGAAAAAAGAAGAGACGACGACGACGATCAACCACCTTTTTGTACTTCTTCCTCTTTCGTTTCGAAATCCAAAAGTGTGAATGTGTTCATATTTACATGTATTTAGAGAAGGGAATAAATCATCTGAGATTTCAGTGATAGTCTATGAATGAAAACATGGATAAACTTGAAACAGAAGAAGCAAAAGACGACGATGACGACGAATGGAAAGTTGTTGCTCGCCATGTTGAATTTTGGACTGACCAAAACACTAAGATGAAGGAATGGGTGGATGTGAATTGTAAACATTTGTTGAAATGAACCAGAAATCGATGCTTACTTGAATAACAAGCCATAATATACTACCCAAAGGGAAGCAGGGTTCTTCTACTATCTAAAAATGTATATTATATAAGCAAAAACGGCTGAGGAATATGTTCCTAAGGCAAAAACCAGAAAGACAAATAAATGGATCGGAGCCTCTCGTCTTAACGAAGATTACAAAACATATAGAAATAGTTTTCTTTTACTGAATGTTTTTATTTTAAGTATGTTGAAAGTTCTATTCTTAAAATAAAGATTATTACAGTTTGTTCTGACATTTTATAACAAAAATAAACATGGCCACTATTTATTTGATTATTATTAACTTTTACTCGAAGATCTCACTTGTCGTAGGGGATCAGTTTTAAAAATGAACCCCTTTTGTTAAATGTTGGACACTTTGAAGGTTGTTGGAAATAAATAACGAAAAAAAATATCATGTCAATCAATGTCTTCTCAATGCTTTTATTTTCCAATCTAATTTTTTTTTTTAACTTATTTTTTTATGTAAATTATACTTTTATTTATTTATTTATTTCTAACTTGGAAACCAGATTTAGTGTTTTTTTTTTTTTAATGTTATTTAGTACTAATATTTGTAATGATTAGAGTTAAAGTGTGTGCGTATATACACACACTTTTAATATGAGAGAGAGATAGACATAAAAAAAAACAAATTTCAATGGGGAAAAACAACTGTTGGAGTCCAACGCTAAAAAGAAATATGAAAAGTCGAATGGATTTTTTGAGATTTCTTCAGAACCCTTACATTGAGATTTTTTTTCAAAAATCCTACAACCAATATAGTAATTTCTCATAATTATTAATTATACCAAATAGCAAGTTAATTATTATTATTATAAAAAAAAAGTGAGACGTAAGTGAAAAAGATGTGATGTGTCTATTTACATTTCTGGTAAGGAAGACATGAAAAAAATATCTACTTAGAAAGAAAAACATCATTTAAAATCACAAAGACAATTTACAAAGCAGAAGTGTATATATATATATATATATATATATATATATATATATATGGTTGAGACAGAGCAAAACCAAAGTCGATTTTTTAAAAGAAATAGGAAGAGTTATAAAGAGGGTGGGTGAATGAGAGAGTGTCAAAAGAAAGAGAGTTATATAGACATAAAGAGAGAGGGATAAGATTGAATATAAGTGAAAATAAAAGAGGGAGAAAGCGAGAGAGAAAGGAACAATGTTGGTAATAATAATAAATAGAGAGAACTGTTCCATCCGTAATGGTGTGTGCAGAGGGCAAAGAAAATAATGGAAAAATATGTTTGTTTTTTTTTCAACAAAAATTGTCCGTCAAAGACGACCGACACGAAATGTGTTGTCAATTGTGAAAAGTAAATAAAATCTTAACCTCTATTTTGTGCCTGCTGTTGCTGATCTTCACCACTCTCACGGTCCGACATGGTGCTGCCCTTCCTCTACAGAAGCCTCCTTCTCGACCTCATGAATAATTGATGAGGTCACTGCTGCTGCTGCTGCCTGCTTGCAGTAGGATCGGCAGTGGGACTTGCAGCAGTACTAGCAGCGGAACAACAGCAGCTGCAGTACCACTGTTGCTGATGTTTCAGTAGAGTAGTAATACCACTTATAATTACTACTACTGCTAATATTGGTGGCTCGACCACTACTAATACACTCGATTTGTACTGCTCATTGATTTCCTATCTCTACTAAGCCCAATTCTGGTCCTAAATATATTTTTCTAAACTAGCACTTATGTCCTATTTTTTTTAAAGTCTTGCTTTTTTCACTCAGTGGAAGAATGACAAAAATGAAATGTTTTCTTTCAGTCAATGTCGTGCTACTAGTTAGAATAACTGCTTTTAGTTAGTGTGTTTGTTATTGAATCTCTCCTCTCTGTGTTTGTCTGTGCTGAGTTTGGCAAACTAAGTGCCTATACACACTCGAATAATTATACTATTTTTGTATCACTACACATTTACAACTAAATTTATTATTTTTTTTACCTTTGCTAATGCATAAAAAATGTAACAAGTTACATTTGTTACAATTGATTACACTACAGTACACACACTATAATTAAAAAAAAACATGCTTAATAAAGTTAATTAATTGTACTTAACTTATTTGGCATTTATTTTTATTTTTATATACTTGTGCTTGTAAAATGTATTGTAAACAATAACAAAAATAATTGGTAAAACCGCATTTTTAATCTCTCACATACACACTCTCACACACACTGACTAAAAAACAATATCCCAAGAAGAAGGTATGTATGTGAAATATGTTGTTTAGGACAAATATGTAAACACGTGACTACCAAAAAAAAAATTTTAAATCCAACAATAAATGTATAATCTCAAAATTTATTAAAAAAATATTTCTTGTCTGACTTTCTTTTAAGACTCAAGCTCAATTATTCCAAACTGGCGTCTCCTTTTAAAATTTAAAAATCAATCTCAAATTTAGGAAAAAATCCAAATGTTAAAAAATGCATTTAAGAAGATTAAGATCCTTATTCTCGATCCCTGTTAAATTCCTATTCCAAATGAAAACGTAAACCGCAAAAAAAAAAAAAAAAAAAACTAAAAAGAATTTAATTTTAATTCTCTAAAAACTTAAATTCTTTTGCTTCTATAACAGTTTAAGTTGTGTTAAGAACCAATAAAAAATATTAGAATACCTTAGTTATAATTTAAATAAGACACTGTTTTTAACACAGCTGTAAGCAAAAAAAAACTCAGTAATTTCATAAAATTAAAAAAAAAATGATAAGAAAACATTTTACTGAAAAAGTGATATGACAGGAAAAAATATCAATTTTTTTTTTTTCTTCTTTTACCCCGACTGCAAAAAGCAATAGATGACATGCCATTGCAGGGCTCATAATGGTATTTGCATGTCGACACTTGTTTTTTTTTCATTGATTAGAATTGTTGCAGTTGTAACTTCTTACCCGGTTTCGAATTTTATGTGACCGGAGCGGAAGTGATGAAATTGATCATATTCATGACAGCTGTAGCGTACAGAGGACAATTACTGCATAACTACTTTTATGACTAGAAATGTGATATGAAAATAATGACGTTTAAAGGGAAGAAAAGGATCATCAAAAGATTGAACTGGTTTAAATAAATAAACTACTTCTCGGTCTGTTTATCACAATTGATTGACTTAACCACGATATACACTTTCTTGTGGCAACAGGCAACTCATTATACAGGGTAATTTTTAGGAGAGATGTTATGAAAACATTAATTTTTCTGGGTGTCAAGAAAATAGATAATGTGAAAATGTTTAAAAATAAAAAAAGTTGTTTCTAAAAGGGAGGTTCTTTACCAACACTACAAAATTTCTTATGTAGATGCGACAGTGCTGACTCTTTCTTTACAATGCATTGACAATGTAGGAAGAAGGAAGACTAACCGCTGCCGCGTATTATTTTTACTTTTAGTTAAAAATAATATTTGACATTGTCATTATCAGCTTGCTTTAGTTTAGCTTATTGATCCTTTCATCTTTGTAACCTACTTTTGGCAAACAATAATTAATCGTTAACGGCCGATAAATATTTTATTTTTTAACAAAATAGCCTCCTTTTCATCATTAATTAACTTTACAAAAAAAAATTCTCATTGAGAGGTTTTAAGTATACGAATGAATTGGATCATTGGATGGAAAAATATTGAAAGAAATATCGGACATTGGTGTCACTGTCAAAGAAAAAAACTAAAAAACATCTAAGTTCGAGCCCCAACAACCAGAATCAGCTGGTGACTGGTACAAAAATAATCAACCAGACCAGGAACAGACAAGGTAAGGACTATTCTCTGAGTTAGCTGATTGTAAAATCCGTGCTGACTAAATGATGATAATATAAGTGCTGGCTTGGACAAAAAGGAAGATACTACTAAGTTCAATGTCCAAAGGTTGACTCCCGTACGGTAAAAAAATGTCTTCTTCGTTGGTGATAGTGTTGTTGGGGATGATTAAATTAATTTAAACGTTCAAAAACAAACTTAAGGAAGGAGGATTTACAAAGTGCTCGTTCCGATGCAACACGTCGGTCGTTCGGTTAACATGTGCTTCTTGCCTATATTGATAGCGTAATAATGTGTAAGCTAGCTGTAACGGTCAATAAATAATAATAATTTCTATGAAAAGAAAACTGATCATCCATTTTATGACCATGTGCACGCGCATGCACGTGCTTGGGGAAATAAGAAAGGTGGTGATGACGTTGTGACGTAAATGCTGACGTCAACAGTCATGTATTTTGTAATTTATATTTATATTGCTATAATTTACAACCTGAGTCTGATATTTATTGTATATAAGCATACAATTATGAGTCAAGAGAGAAAATGATTTATAAAAAAAAAAAGAGTAAGCCAACAATCATAAAAGTAGGAATTTTCAAACCTCTTTTTCTACCTCTCCCGTCCGACTTACTCTTTATCACCACTCTTACTGTTTCTCTCACATTCTCATACTATCTTATCCACTACTTATTCTTTGTTGGCCCTTTTTACGTTAAAAACACTTGTTCATAAACATATTGAGTTTCACATTCTAGTTGTTAAAATATTGATTAAAAAAAAATCTTTAATTGAAAAATGCACAAAAATATTTCAATAAATTTTGAGTTTGAGGTGAAATAATGTTTCATTTTTCGTTTGTAAATTCAATGTCTTCCTTCAACTTTATTTTTTTCAACCTAAACAATTTTTCACTTGATCTGTTCTTATTTGCTCGTAAAATACAAAATAAAAAATCCAAAGTATTATTTTTCTTTCAACTATACTTTTCAAAACTTACTTTTCTCGTTTCGATCTCAAAGCAAAGATCATTTCGATGTCAACAGGAGTTAAATGAAAAATCTCATTTTTTTTTAAATTTATTTTTTACTTCTCTGATCCTATACAATAAAAGATGTACCTAACCACAAGCGACCTAACAAAACATCATATACATATATCTAGTTGAATGTCAACAAAATTAATGTAAGAAACAAATTCGACCAAGTTTTTCAGGAAATCAGAAACTAAAAAAAAGTCATTCTCATATTGTGGAACTGGCCTGAAAGAAAACATAAAGGGAGGTAACTGTAGTTTACATTTCAAATTTCTCACTGAATTATTGGGCATCTCTAGACTCCTCCAAAAAATGAAATGGTCTTTTTTGTTGCTTTTAAGTTTTTTATCATTCGTTCAGTTTGTAATTTTTTCTTTGTTTGTAGATTTATTATCTGTTTCATCCCATGATAAATAAATGATTATTTATTGGATGTAATTTTATTTTTTTTCAAGACATCGTACATGCAAATGTACAGGTAAAACAAAAACATTCTTTTTTTGTCCTAAAATTATTCAAGTGTCGGGCTTTTTAAACTGCCGTAAAAAATATTTTCTGTATAAGAAATTAAAAGATTTATTTGTTAGATAAAACTTTTTAAACTAAAAATTTTTTTTCACATTTTCCGTGTTTCATTAGTTTCAAAGGATTTGATGGTTATCTCATTTTAAGAAAATAATTTAGAAAAGAATGGAAACGCTTAAAAAGTTAAATTTTTTAAAAATCCGGTGGAGATATTTATCTTGCTTGTATCGAGTACGGTTTACGATAAGACAGTCACGTGATCGAGTCAAATCACAAATAACAAATTTGGAAAAAGAAAAAACTTTGAATAGTAAATACTTTTTTTCTTTTCTTGCGTATTTATTATTTAAAATTTAACTTTTAAAAAATCTTTCTGCGTGTCTTTGGTATGGAAAAAATAGTCATATGACTAAGAAGAAGGTTGAGGAAAAAGTTATTGTGAAATTGCCATTTTTCTTTTCCCTTCAATTTGTTTTGGGTTTTCTTTTTAAAATTCATCAATGATTGAAAACTGAAAAGCTTTCTTTTTTTTTTCGCCTAATCTCGGAAACGATGGTGTCAAAAGTTTTAAAAAGCATATTTCAAATATGCTTTAAGAACTAAACATATAACCACTTTACAAATGTTGATAAATTATGTGTTTAGAGACTGACAGTAGTTGTAAAAGTCGTGTAGATTATATACTAGACACCGAAATTCTCTTTTTGCTTGTTTATTACGAAACTTTTGAGTGGGCGTGTAGCGGAGAACTGCAGGAAGAAACAAATAAACAAAAAAAATATATCGAGGTGTTCTAAAAATAAAGAAGTTTATCTAAAGTCGAAACATTTTTTTTTTATTTTAAGAAATCTTAAATCAGGTTACTGAAAAAATAATACTCGCGTAAAAAAAACTTTAAATTAAAACTTAAAAAGGGTGTTTTGTACATCACTAATTCCTTGAAAATTTTTTTTTTTTATTTCATCCAAGATTCCATTTTTTTTAATTTCATAAAACATTTCTCTGCTTTCTTTATTGAATTTTTCAGTCAGAGGCTAGAAGAATGAAGCGTGTTTGAAAT